AGGAGCTTGTCTATCCTATACACATGACGTATGTAGGGGCATGATTGGTGATTGTATCTGCTCTGCCATTACTACACCTCTACATACAATGACTCAACTAACCAGCCTAGTGAAAGCTCTGCTGTATTGTATATAAAGGCAGCACTGCTTTAAGGAACCATTCCTGGTGGGTGTCCATTTTACTCTTTGCAAGTAACGCAATTTCCTTGTTAAATCCTCCTTGGTTGTGGTCATTGGATTGTCACAGAAAGCAAGCAATTGAATTGACCCTTTGTGTAGGTAACAGTTTGGGTTTTTATTATTAAAGGTTAGCGTCCCACAGTGAGAGGTCCAGGTGGGCAGGGATTTGCACAGTTTTAATTTCCTGTGGGGGCCAAATGAGGAAAGCTTGCTTATGTTTTTTCAGATGTGGAGCATGAGGAGGTGAGTCTAAAAGCTGTCCATAGTCCAACAACAAAAAATAGAATCAGACTTCTCATTCCTACTTCCTTAGATGCAATTTTAAATTGAAATAAAGTCAGAGGTCAGAGAGCATGGGTTAAAATCTCAGCTTAACCATTTATAAGATTTTGACCTAATGAAATGCACTTGACTGCATCACAGCTGACTTTCTTCCTCTGTCAAATGGAGTCAACCTTACTATCCATGCATAAGATGGCAGAAGATTAACGGAGATGTTGCACTCAAGCTTTGCTACTGGATTATAGTAAGTGTATAGCCCATCGTTGCCTCACCATTGCCTTTCTACCGCTACTGTTTTGGCTACAACTACCTCTTACCACTGCTATTTTATCTAACTTTTCTTTATAGAATAAAATTGAAAATCTGCCTTTTTTTTTCCTGTGTATTTGCCCCCATATCTGACTTTGGATTGTTCAGATGGGTTTTAAGATCTGTATTGACAATCCTATTACTAGTAAGAGAGGAAAAAGGAAGAAACTGATCAGGAAGCCAGGTTGGGTCCTCAGTTTTAGAGTAGGTCCTTGGTTAAATTCTTTCAAACAAAAGAATAGCCTGAAAAATCAAGCTGTAGGCACAGATAAGGGAACTTCCTTAGGGAGCTTGCCCAAGACATCCCCACAAGCACATAGATAAGAAGGGCTACACAGGAGATTTACCCACATATGCCCACAATAGAAAATGTTGTCCCCTGATGCATGCACAGTAAGGGGAACAAAGCAACATGGAGTATCTCAAGCTAAGAGCCCACATGAGCACTAGGAAGATGGGGTAGAAGTACCAGAAATGTATGCCTTATGCAAATAAGATGACCAACCCCCTATGGGCTTCTTATAAAAGCCTCTGTATCCAAACTGTGAAACAAAAACTCATTTTCTGGAACCCCAGTCTGTGAGAGAGAGCTATTCTCTTTCTCACACCTATAAAATTTCTACTCTAAACCTCACCCTTTGTGTGTCTGCATCCTTGATCTCCTTGGCGCTGAGACAATGAACCTCTGATATTACCCAGACAGCAAGTCTGCTTCACTAGGTATATACTCAAAGGAATATGAGTCATTCAACATAAAGATATATGCACATGTATGTTCACTGCAGCACTATTTACAAGAGCAAAGACATGGAATCAATGTAGATGCTCATCAATGATAGATTGGATAGAGAAAATCATATATACCATGAATTACTATGTTGTCATAAGAAAGAATGAGATTATGTCCTTTTCAACAGTATGGCTGGAACTGGAGGCCATTATTCTAAGCAAACTAATGCAGGAACAGAAAACCAAGCATCACATGTTCTTACTTATGACGACAACATCATCATAAGCGATGAGATGATGAGAAAACCTGGACACAAAGAAAATAACAGACACCAGGGTCTACTTGAAGGTGTAGGGTGGGAGAAGGGAGAGGACTGGAAAACTACCTATCAGCTACTATGTTTATTACCTGGGTGACAAAATAATATGCATATTAGCCCCCCATCACATGTAATTTACCTATATAACAAATCTGCACATGTACTCCTGAACCTAAAATAGAAGTTAAAAAAAAATCAGGGCTAGGTATTCTTATTCCCAGTGGCTATGTTGACCTCAGCACTGTCAGAACACTGTGAGACCTGGACTTGTTAACATCTGACTTCTCGTAGCATATTCCTTCCTGGAAAGTGGGGCAACCTGGTATGATACATGTTAAGGCCAGGTCCTTGTTTGCTTGTTGTATTTTACTAATTAGATTTGAACAAAACATACTCCCTCTTCTCACGGAGCATCTGTGACTGAAATTTCATGATATTTTAGCTGATGAGAAATGATTTTTCAACTGCAAATCCTAGAAGAAGTTTACCTGCAAATAAGTACTTTATTCAGATTCACCACTGTTTTTGATTCAGAAATATTTTGTCATTTACTCTCACTCATTTTATTTTTAGTTGTATATAACAATTGTCTTTTTCCTAAATATGTTCTCAGAGTCAGAAAATTCGGACCTTATGTAGAGGTATTTTTCCCACCTTGGATTCCCTAATGCATTTTGTTCATGCTTCCTTTAAGGCAGAAATTCATATATGTGTTTGTCTGCATGGATGATCACTGAATAATATCAAACAATTTGTATTACGTGGTTATCTGTTGAACAAGTAGCTTTCTAGCTGTTCCCTAGGAGCTTCTCATACAGTGATTTTTAGAATGGGGCTTAGGACACAGGATTTTAACAAGCACTCAAGGATATTCATAAAACACTGGCCTATTCCCCACAGATTTTAAGTTCTGTGAGATTTATGTTTTCTTCAACACCACAAGAACCAAGGTGTTCTGTACCCAGTGAAATCCCTAGTGGTGAGTTTGCATGCTTATGCTTACTGAGATTTTTCTGGAGTAAAATAATAATAATAACCATAGAAATAGACATAATTCATAATGTTTACTATATATTTTATTCTTTTGGCATATTACTAAATCTTATAGTAAACTCTAGTCCAGAATGTATGATCTCAAGGTTAGAGATTTGGAAACTGAGGCTAGGCATAAGGTAGTAAGTGCCTCAGTTCATGGAGTTGAAAAATAGCTGAATCCCATCTTCATATGCACGTCTCTCTGATAGCCAGGCCCCTGTGACTTGTGAAGTGGATTGGACATATTTCTCCAGCCACTGCCGCTTGCCCTAGTTAACATTCTCCTTGAATGACCTACAACGTCTTTAACTTATCAGTGGCTTAAGTGTCTCTGATGCTCCCGTTTAAAAATCGCAATACACACATAAATAATTCAAGCAAACAACTTGATATAGTGGAGTGCATTAGGGCTAAAATAACCCTCCCCTTTTCGACTAGTTTAGAAAACCATCATCATTTTCTAGAAATACTCTCTGGGCTTCATGTGGTGCATGGTACATTGAATATGTTAGCATTTTGCCAGCTCTGCCATCCAGAAGAAAAAAAGGATCACTCTAGAATCACTGCAAAATCAGCGTAAATGCAGATTTAATTGGTTTTGCCTCCCAAATAACCTTCTTCATGCCAGCTTTATTGCCACAGTTGGAGAAGAGCCTATGTTTGTCATCAATATACCTGCTATGTCTATGAAAATAATTCACAGTGAAAATCCAAGAGGTGTTTACTGAAAGGCTAAAGTCTGCATGAGTTGTTTTTAAACTGATTTTTTTTATCCCATCAAAGGTTTATCTGCACAGATAAAAAGATGGACAGATTGATAGAGAGATCAAGGCGGTTTATCTCTAACATCAACTCATAGCAACCCCTTTCTCTGTTTGATCATGCCTCCAAGTTACATTGCTCATCTCTGAGGACACCAAACATACCAAGGCCATTCCAGCCTTTGGCCTTTGCTCACATTATTGCCTGTTCAAGGGCCCCCTCCCTATCTCCATGTGGCTGACTTCTGTTCATCATTCACACCTTTGACTAAATGCCAACTGTTTACCAAAGTAATTTCTGGAATCCTATCTGGCAGGGTCTACTCTTTGTTCGTTTTCATCTCTGTTCCTCATTTGCTTCATTTATGGCAAGGGTTGGCAAATTCTTTCTGCAAAAACCAGGTAGGAATAGTTTAGGGCTCACAGGCCCTAAGGTGTCTACCGCACTCATTCAACTCTATTGCCATAAACGAAAAGCAGCCACAGACAATACGTAAACAAAGTCCATGGCTGTGTAACAGCATCATTTTATCCACAAAACAGGAAACTGGTAGGATTCTGCAAGCAGAGGCAATTGGGGGACTTTCTGGTACACAAGACTTATTACAAATCAAGGTTGGAACATTTACGTTATGTTATACCTGTTTATTGTCATAATACTCATTAGAATAACAACTTCAGGAGGACAGGAGGCAGAATGTAGTTGCACTGCATTATATTGCAATTGTACACAGTAGATGCTCAATAAATATTTATTTAAAGGAGAATGTATTAGTTCAGAGGAATTTTGGTTTAATATTTAGCCATAATGATCTTTCATATGCTGCAGAATAAAGTCCTAGGTAATTATCACAACACATACTTCAACCAACTCCCAACCTAGTGAGGTGTGAGTGTGTGTGTGTGTGTGTGTGAGCACTTTAAGGCATGGTGTCAATCTGTCACTCAGACTGTACAGTGGTAAAATCATGGCTCACTGCAACCTCAACTTCCTGGGCTCCAGGAATTCTCCTGCCTCAGCCTCCTGAGTAGCTAGGACAACAGGTACACAGCACCACACCAAGCTAGTTTATTATTTTTGTAGAGGCTGGGTCTCACTATGCTGCCCAGGCTGGTCTTTAACTCCTGGCCTCAAGCAGTCCTCCTGCCTTGGCCTCACAAAGTTCTGGGATTGCAGGTCTGAGCCACTATGCCTGGACAAAACTTTTACTTTCAGGACTCATTGTCTCTTTTCCTATCACAAGACAAAAGCTCAAAAGCTGTAGCTTAGTCATGCACTTATTCTTTCATTTAGTATTAGTATTTTATGTCCAATAAAAAATAGGCTACACACTGTGCTAGACACTAGGCTAAAATGGCCCATGAGCTAGACACAGCCACTTACTTGTGGAGTTTAAAGTCTGATGTTGTCTCAGAGTACTTGGGAGTTCACTTCTCTGTGTTTTGCATCTGTTCAGCATGATGTCCTGTGTCTGTAAGTCTCTGCTCTCAGATTCCATTAGTAATTTCCCACTGGTGTATCTCAACTTAACTGAATAATCCCTCTGACTCTCAGTTCATCCCTCCATTCTCTATATTCCTGTAACACTCAGCTCCTTTTGACTTCTCATTGAGTCATAGCAACTTCTCTAAGGACCTGCCTCCCTCATTTCACAATGATTTTTGGTAAACCCAAGGAAATAAGTGATACAAGTCTGACATTCTTCTTTGTACCATCAGCGTCAAGTTCAATGCCTGGAGTACAGAAAGTACCAAATAAATATTTGAAGGATGAGCCAGTTTTTACATTTTACCCAGAGAGTTAAGTAGTGCCAAGTATTTGTGGGTTGAATTTGGAAGAATTTAACTTGAATCCAATAAAAAATTTCTGTGTTTGGATTATTATCAAGTATCTTTTTCTAAGAGTCAAATATCTTTCAGTTAAAAATCTTCAAATACTAAATGGTTTCAGACACTATCTTTTATACATTTTAAAAAATAATATGGCATTCTAAAGCCAGGGTTTTAACTGGAGCAACAAGTGGAGACTTGACCAAGGTGAAAATTTAATAAGGAAAAAATTATATATGATGCTTTCCAATAGTGAAACTGACCTGGTGCCATGTCCTCTGGTACAGAAATGGGTCATGCTACTTTTATTTCAAATACATTATATTATAAAATTTTCTGCATAGAGCCAAAAATTCCACTGATTCTCTTGATGTATCTACTTGAAGATTTAAATTCTAAACACGCAAAAGCATAAAACTTTTAAAAGTCAAAATGATCCTTTAGAAAAGCCATAAAATAATAATTCTACATAATGGCTTTGAAATATTTTTGCTGAAAAGCTGTCAGATCTGTACGAAATAAGAACCCTGGACCTATGCAAATCATCTCAGCTTTAGAATATAAAATACTTTTACAAACAAAAATGACAGGATTTCAGAGAAAGCACAGGTTGGTTTTCAAAGTAAATAAGAGAAGGGTTATATGCTACAAGAGCCTTCTGAAAAGGAGAACGTTTTATGTATACTCAGTAAATTTGTAGCAAAGCATCCCAGAAAGACAAGTATTTTAAAGCAAGTGGCAGGATTGAAATTTTTCTTACTTTCCTTTATCTATTTTCACTTTTCCCAGAACATATGTTTCACAATAGTTTTATTAGCAAGTGGAGAAGACGTCACTGTCCAAAATCTGTGGTGTGATTAGTGTTATTGAATGGCAGGTTTTGTGTTACTGGTGTTTATTTTATGCCTTCCCAAACCATCTGTTTCCTTGTGCTGTCTTATTCAGATAATGAGAAACAGTGACAGTAAAGGTGCACATTGCCACTACAGTGCTAATGGTTTCTGACATTTTGGGTTTGGGTTTCTATTTTTCTCAGTGTTGTAGGCAAAACTAAATTACATGGTCACTCTTAGGAAACAAAGCCTAGAAATAATTCATGCATTAATTTGATTCAACTTTATTGAATATTTACTCTGCTTCAGGTAATAGACAAGGAACTATGGTTACCAAGATGTATAAAACACTATGGCTACCCACAATAGTGCAGTGAGGAAGAGAAGCATGAAAAGAGTGTCCTATGACAAGTTTAAAACCAAGTTGGGATAAAAGTATGATGGCCTCAGGAAGTGAAAGTGAAAGCATTCATCCTAAGAATGCACCGGAGTCTTGAATTGAGTTCTGAAGCATTAAATTACAAATATAAGAGGCAGGAAAGCTGCCAGAGAGCACTTCAGGCTAAAGTACCTACATTAACTATGGTATCCATAGAAATGTGGGAGTTTATTTTTGAGCAATTTTAATTACTTGTATTTGGCTGAAATACAGAATATGCCTTGGAAAGCAGGCAAGAATGAGACTTTGCTACTTGGTAACATTAGCTAGTACATCTTCAGCCTTTGTTTCATGCCACATACTGTTCACCCATTCTCTCATTTCATCTTTCCATTGAATTATAAGACTGGAACAATTTTACTATTTACCTTATTAAGCAGATTAGGAAGCTGGGTCCCAGAGAGGTTAGTGGCATATTAACTCAGTTGGTGAACCCACAGAACATTCAAATTGGATAATTCTGGACTGTGTAATAGAGGGATTATTTATCAAGCTGTGAACATAGTTTAAGCCAATGGTCCTCAAAGTGTGGTTCCCTAGACCAGACTACCAGCATCATATAAGAATTTGTAAGAAACACAAATTCTCAGGCCTTATCCTAGAATTACATAATCTTAATTTCTGGGAATAAGGTCCAGCAGTTTCTTTACTAAAAATCTCTCTAGGTGATTCTGATGCACTCTGAAGTTTGAAAACCATGGGTTTAGGGAAGTCATCATGGATTGTACAGTACCGTGGGGCTGGTAATGTGAAAAAAGATGCTATGATCCTTAGGCCATAAAGAAGAGAAGGCAATTATCAGAACCCAGAACCCAGAATAGGAGAGGTCTGTCTAATTGGAGCTGTGGCCATCAGTAGACAGGCACTATCAACCCTTGCAGCCCAGCAGGGAGGGAGTACTCTCTTGGTGTCCTGAGGAGGTCCTGCAGGTGGCTTTCAACAGCCAAATCCAAGTGGCACTGCTGAGCTGGGGAGCTAGGTGGCTTCAGAGTGCAGGGGAGCTACTTGGCAGAGCAGGTGAAGGGTGATGTACAGATTCAGAGGGGAAAACAGAAGGTGCCTATCACACATCCCCAAGATGATGGGCAAGAAGAGGTGAAGGCACATTTTTAAATCAGGCAAGATGACTTTAGAGCCCTATTCTTAACAATTGTATCATGCAACCTCTAAGTAAGAGGGGGTAGTACTCAGAGCATGATACTCTAAGCCAGGCTAAGCAGCCTGGAATAGGTCCTATGAGCAATATAGACCCTAAAGGAGTTTTAACTTGGGGGAGACACATGGTATTATTTCTTCATGTATTTTTTGTTTTTTTTTTACTATAGTTTGGAAAAAATTACTCTTGTAAGTAGGATAGAGGATGCAAAAGGGTCTGAATAGTTGATAAACTCTTTGTGCTAATCCAGTTGAGATAAGAACCCATGCTCCAGGAATGAAAATGGAAAAATAGTCTAGTTTATTAAAATCTACATAATTCTATTGTTAAAATCTACAGGTGAGTAAGATACAGACATGGGAATGAGTCTAAGATGCTTCCCAGATTTTAACACAGCTGGCAGAGTAAATGCATGATGATTCTCTTATTATTATATGTATGTTCTTTGTTTCTTGTTTGTTTATTTTTTTAAATATACATTCATTTTGCTGCTGCATGTGCAAGGAGCAGTAGGAGCTGTCTACTAGGTTGTCACATATAAAAGTTTAGAATTGGGCCGGGCGCGGTGGCTCAAGCCTGTAATCCCAGCACTTTGGGAGGCCGAGGTGGGTGGGTCATGAGGTCAACAGACCGAGACCATACTGGTCAACATGGTGAACCCCCGTCTCTACTAAAAATACAAAAAATTAGCTGGGCATGGTGGCGTGTGCCTGTAATCCCAGCTACTCAGGAGGCTGAGGCAGAATCGCCTGAACCCAGGAGGCGGAGGTTGCGGTGAGCTGAGATCGCGCCATTGCACTCCAGCCTGGGTGACAAGAGCGAAACTCCATCTCAAAAAAAAAAAAAAAAAAAAGTTTAGAATTTATAGAATAAAATGAAACCAAAGTTACAGACTGAGAGTTACCAGAATATACATACTTGTTTAAGATAACCCAGGGTATATATACAAGATGAAGAGTCAAGATTCAACAAAAGAGGTAGCTAAATTTAAGTAAAGAAGAAGAATTTGAGGAAATGTAAAGAAGAATGATAATGGTAGCAACAATAATAGCAATAAAATTGTATTGATAACAGGTAGCATATGATACATATTTAGCACATCCTATGCTAAGCATTTTATAAGCATTATATCATTTATATTTTATAAAAATAATGGTGATAGATGCTAATAGAAAGCTTACTTAATGAATATAATGAAGCTTAGGGATATAAAGAAATTGTCCATGATTATGTGGCTGCTAAATTGATAAATAGAAATTCAAACCCAAGACTTCACTTACTGAGTTCAGAAGACCCACTCTTTATTTTCAAGAATAGACAAGAAAAAACATTCATGTCAAGGAAGCCATAGTTGGTAAGATTTTCAAACAAGAGGGCATTTTAAGAGGGCTTAACAGTATTAACATTTCTGTTCTAAGGACAAATAGTATTTAGGACTCTGCACTGAGGAATAGATTCAGAGGGGTTCTAAGAAGGTAATGAAAGACACAGCTAAACAGAGTGGTTGGCATGAAGGAATGCAGAAAAGTTTTCCACTATGCTTTCAAGAAGTTGGCCGTAAACCAAGGGAAGAGATGCAGCAAAATTACTAGGATTCAGGTTTAAAAAAAATATACTTGTTTTGGGGATTTTTGCTTGTATTAAAGTGGAAAAAGAAAATAAGCTCTAGGTCAGAGAAAGGAAAAATGAAGAGAGTGGATGAAGATATAAAAGAATGAACAATGGATACTTAAGGTGATAAAGAAAATGGGGAGTTGATGGTTTCTTGGATGACTTCACTTTGGATCTGGCATATCCCAGTTACTGAGAGAGGCAGAACGTTGCTGAGGATAGAAAACACTCCCTCCTCCCTCTCCTAGCTTCTGCCAGCCTCTAGGGCCTTGCACGATTAGTGAACCGTCCCTAACATGGAGTAATACACAAAGTAGGTCAAATGGTGAAATCCCATGTTTCTAAATAGAACTATCTTCAGAGCAGGATTTCAACCATGGCAGGAAACCTCTATTTCTGAAATGGAATTGTTTTTATAGTTAGGCAAAATAACTGGTCCCACAAAAATTTAACTGCAAGGTTTTCAGAATAGAGCTCTCCTGTAAAAGATGAATTAGCATCTTGGTCATGGAGACAAAAGCAGAATCCCAGACCTCAGGAATGAAACAGACTTGTCAGAGATGGGTCTTCACACTTTAAAAACCTTGGCCGTTTAGCTGTTCACTGTTGGAGGGAGAGGGCCAAAGACATCTTTCTGATGTGGGCCTAACCCTGGGCAGGGTACAGAGCAGACAAGAAGAAACTAGAGTTAGAAATAAAATGCATTTTTTATGATGTCAGATTGGAGGCTTGGTTAACCTGCCTCATCACTTGGAAAGAGAAAGATAACGTGTAGAGAATCACATGGCAGTATTTTATCAAAGAAGAAGACAGGAACTCAACAGACATAGTGAAAGACACTTTGAAAGCAGCAGTGGGCAGCAACTTGCACTGTGAGTCAGACAGAATGCTCTAAGTCTCCAGAGCCTAAATAGAGGAGAGACAGTCTTAGTGATACACACTCCCACTACAGAGCTGGCCAGTGACCACACTGCCCAAAACAATCTACAGACTCAATGTAATTCCTGTCAAACCACCAATGTTATTATACACAGAACTAGAGAAAACAATCTAAGATTTGTATGGGAACCAAAAAGAGCCAAAATAGGCAAAGCAATCTTTAGCAAAAAGACCACATCTAGAGGTATGTCACTTTACCTAACGTCATATAACCTAACAAGTCTATAGTAAGCAAGACAGCATGCCGCTTGTGTAAAATTAGACACACTGGCCAATGGAACAGCATAGAGAAACCAAAACTAAAGCAAAATGCACACAACTAACTAATCTTTGGCAAAGCAGACAAAAATATCTGCGAGAGAGAAAACACTCTATTCAATAAATGGTGCTGGAAAATTGCATAGCTACATGCAGAAGAATGAAACTGGATCCCTGTGTCTCACCATATACAAAAATTAACTCAAGATGGATTAAACACTTAAGTATAAGACCAAAACAATAAACATTCTAGAAGAAAATTTATTAAAAAAAATAATAAAAACTTCTCTGGACATTGGCATATGAAATAATTTATGGCTAAGACTCTGAAAGCAAATCCAACAAAAATAAAAATAAATAAGACTTAGTCAAGCAAAAAGCCTTCTGTGCAGCAAAATAAATAATCAACAGAGTAAATAGCCAACCTACAGAAGGGAAGAAAATATTTGCAAACTATACATCTGAAAAAGGACTAGTACCGTGAATCTACAAGGAACTCACATCAGTAAGAAAAAATGTTATCCATTTAAAAAATGGGTAAATGACATGAAAAGACATTTTTTAAAAGAAGATTTACAAATGTCCAACAAAGATATGACAAAATGTTCAAGATCACTAATCAGGAAAGAAATGTAATTTAAAACCATAATGAGATATCACCTTACTCCATTCAGAATAGTAAAATCAAAAAACAACAAATGTTGATGCGGCTGCAGCGAAAAGGGAACACTGTGGGTGGGAAGGTAAATTAGTACAATCTCTGTGGAAATCAGGATGGAGTTTCAAAGCACTAAAACTCTACCATTCAATCCAGAGATTCTTGCTACTGGACATCTACCCAAAAGAAAAGTCACTATAGCAATAAGACATCTGCATCTGTAAGTTTATAGCAGCAGAATTAGCAATTGCAAAGTCTTAGAACCAATCTAACTTCAGCGAAGGAGCCAATAAAGAAAATGTGGTATATGTATACCACAGAAGACCATTCATTCTTTTTAATTTTTATTCTTTTTAGACAAAGTCTTCCTTTGTCACTCAGGCTGGCGTGTAGTGCCACAGGCTCGGCTCATTGCAACTTTTGCCTCCCAGGCTCAACCAATCCTTCTGCCTCAGTCTCTCCAGTAACTGGGAGTATAGGTGCACCACCATGACTGGCTACTATTTTTTTTTTTTGATACGGGGTCTCACTATGTTGCCCAGCCTGCTCTTGAACTCCTGGGCTCAAGCAGTTGTCTCACCTTGGCTTCCCAAAATGCTGGGATTACAGGTGTGAGCTACTGTGTGTCCAACATTACTCATTCATTGGAACCAAAATAATGTCTTTTGTAGCAACTTGGATGGAGCTGGAGGTTATTATCCTATGTGAAGTAACTCAGGAATGAAAAACAAATTACCACATGATCTCACTGATTAGTGGGAGCTAAGCACTGGGTAGACAGAGGCATATGGAGTGGTGTAATTGCCATTAGAGACTCAGAATCAAGGGGGGCGGAGGAGGTTTTAAGATTAAAAAAACCACCTTTTGGGTACAATTTACACCATTCAGGTGATGGCTACATTAAAAGCCCAGACTTCATCACCATACAGTTTATTCATATCACTGAAAACCACTTGTACACCTAAATCGATTAATTAAAAAAAATAAAAAACTTGCCGGGGGCAGTGGCTCACGCCTGTAATCCTAGCACTTTGGGAGGCCGAGGTGGGTGGATCACTGAGGTGATCCAAGACCAGCCTGGCCATCATGGTGAAACCCCATCTTTTAAAAAAATAAATAAATAAATAATAAAATAAAATAAAATAACCTAAAAAGAAATAAAATGCAACATCAGGCCTTCAAATAAAACTTGTGGAAAAAGTATCCCATTGGATCCTTCTCTAGGATCTTCCTTATAACTGAACACAAAATTTAACATTTTCAGCACAAAGGCTTTGACCATTAAGATACAACGTATTTGAGCCAGATGATTTTAGATTTTACCTTTGAAATATAAAGCTACTTACTAGTTTGAAATATATCAGTTTGAATTCATAACAAACAATCATACTTTTAAACAGACACACTATATTAAAATATTTGCATAACATTGGCCCTTAAGAGAGAAATGTCAATACATGTCTGCCATTGACTAATTCTGTGACCCTGGGCAAATAGCATAAGCTTTCTGTTTCTCATTGTTATCACTTGTAAAACAGAGATCCTAGTAATAGCAATTTTATAAGGAAAGAAAGAAAAGAAAGAACTGCCATACATCCTAGCTTCCTGAGGGAGAGCTCTGGGAAAAACACCTATATATAGTCAGAACCATTTTTTAAAGCAATGATTCTAATGATTGATTAAAGGAAAATTATCCAGAGATGAACATTTATTACTGGAATTTAACTGGGTTGACGTTTGCATAATTCAGATGGTTAGGAGTAGAGACCTGCAGACCAAATGATTCCTCAAATATCCTAGGAGGAAGCCAAAAAGAGAAGTCAGTACTGTAGCTACTAAGCAGATGAATTGATCTGGCTGGTATTATACCAAGAACACTCATGGCAAAGGTCAAGGCAGATGACAAACCACAGGAACAGGATTTAAGGCAAGAAATACAATACCTAAGAAGTATGACAAAAGCAAAGCATATCTTCCAGTTAGAAGAAGGGATAACTAGACATTGTTTTAAGGCAGTGATCCAGTTTTTGGCCAGAATATCAGAAAAGACCAAATCCCAGTTACTCAAACCGAGGAACAAGATCAAAAGGAGGGTAGACACTCCTTACTTGTAGCTCTTTGAGTTTCTAGTCTGCAGCAGGACTAACTCAGTATGTGAAGGTTGCGTTGCCCTAGATGGGGCAATTAGACTGTCATACTCATCTGAACTTTGTGGTGACATTATTTTGTGAGTCCTTCCTTTTGTATTGCATCACATTGCTAAGAACAAACGCTACTGTTGAGAGTATCTGGAGAAATTTAGTTACATGGATTTGAGCTTCAGGCATTCTCTCATTCCTATTCACTCCTTGTGTCTTGTATTTCTCATATTATGTATTTTTACCAAAACACAAACTACTCTTAACATTAACTGTAATATATCTTCCCTCTAATAAAGAGAGTGCAAAATAAAACAAGGACATTACACAGCAACTATAATAAAGATCTGGATAAAAACGCTCAAGATAATGCAATTATCTTGTTCCTGTTTATGAAAAAAACTAAATAAATTATTATGCTTAGCTTTCAAGAAAATTGGGGCCAACTGGGAGGTGAGAAAGGGGCCATAATGTGAGAGAACATTTAATTACGTTTTCCCCCATGATTTTGAATTTCTATCCTCAATAATATTTCCCCTTAGCCCTGTTTTCTTACTCTCATTTTGTTTTTATTATTTTATTATATGCTTTTTGTTGTTAAAATGCACTTTAAATCTTTAGGGGGTAGTTTACAAATAAATGAATACTAAATAAATAAGATACATTGATAGTTTTATTTTCCTTGATATTAAAAGGATAGTGACTGATGGTAGCCTTCCTTGAGTGAGGGAGTGAGGTGGTCATTTGAGTAGCATTTGTATGAAGAAACGATGTGGTCCCCACGGTAAAAATAGTCGTGAGGTTAACATAGCCACAGCAGCTCTGATATTAGCACTAAACGTGAAAACAATCAACTGAAGAAAATCAGTGATTTTTCCTGCAATAATTTGTTTTCTCGTTTATTTCTCTCCAAGCTGTAAGAAGATACCTAATTTCTAGTTAAGTCCCATTGAAAGATCTTCAGCCCCAAACCGCAAAAGGAAGCAGTATTATTTAAACACCTTAAAGTCGTCCTTGTATGAATCTCAGTGACCTCTCCTCTTGACAAGAAAAATCACCTATCTAATTTCAAAGGCAGATAAGAATGTAACTTCTACTGTGCTTCATCAGCCACATCTGAGATTAAAAAGTAGGATCCATTTCACTCTTTGAAAAAGTGGTGGAAATGGCTGCAAATGACTAAGCAGGTGGCTGAAAAATTGTAGTCAAGTTGACCCAGGGCCTAATGTTCACGACTTAAAGATGAAAATAGAGGGAAATTATAAAGGACAGACTCAGCAGCCAACTGAAGTCCTGAGTTAAAATTGTGTTCAGTTTCGAGGAAAAGTAATTAATCTGAAACCACTTATTATTCTTACCTGGATCCCTGAGTATGATTCAATTAAATGGGAACTCAGTGGCAAGGTGTTATTAGAACCACTATTTATTTTTCACAAATTCCATTGGCTAAACCTGAGTATGTTTTTTTTGCAAGTCACTGACACCTGGAATGCTTCCACAGAAAGCAGTCCCAGGGTCTGGATAATAAATCTCATGAGGAACAAGTGAAGGGATTTTATGATTTTTCATAGAAAAGAGAAGAGGAAGTTCTTCTCAGCATTGGAACATCAACAAAAAGAGAAGAAAGCTGTCCAGGGCCATGCTGCTAGTGATGGCAAAACTAGAAAAAAATTACAGAATTATACAAAGAAACATGAAAGTTACCTTTCATTCAAATCAATGAAAGATAACTAACTGGATGCACTGTGACATGCTGATAGTGAAATGCACATCTCTGGTGAGTGAGGTCAGGGAGGCAAGAGAATGCGTCCCACCTCCACAGGGTGATTGTGGACTCCAGTGCAACTGGGCTGGAGGCAGTTCTGCCCATGATGTCTATAATAATCTCCACTTGTTTGTCTCAGACTAAATTTATTCATTCATATGAAAAGTCAAAATTTGCTTGTATTAGAAAGATGTCACTATTCACACAGAAATAGAATGAACCAGAAGAAAATGTTTTTTTTCTGGTTTGAGTTAGTGTTCTTTATTGCTGGGTGTCAATTGACTGCCATTATGTAAGTGAAAATAACTTTCAGTCTCATTCCAGTTGTTTTTAACAAAGAGAATTATGGGCAGCCTCAGTTTGGTAGAACTTTCAGTTTATTCAATAAGTAAGTTGATAAGGAAAAAAACAGCATGACTCTGGTGTAGGAGAGAGTGTGCTACTTTCTCTGTGCATCCTGACCTTCATCCACACTACAATTGATTATATTTTTATAACATTTTACAATTGACCCTGGCCATCACTAGCAGCACACCCTTGGACAAATTCCTTCTTTTTGTTGACTTTCCAATGTTGAGAAGAACTTTCCATTTATTTTTTTTTGCATTATTATACTATATATGGAGTACAGAGAAACAAAAAATAGTGTTCCACCCCTCCCTTTAGACCTCTCTATGTGCAAACACAAAATTTCTGCAGAAAATTGTAAGATTATAAGTAATAGGTAGTACCTTATCTTCACTCTATCTCTGTTTTCCCATCTTTACGCTGAGTGTGGATCATATAATGTTCAAGGTTTTTTCCAGTGCTGAAGGAGTCTCTGTGACTGGTCCTTAACCTTCAGCACCTGAAGCTATCACTTACCTCTCTTGAAAAGGTGGGTTTCCCAAGACATCAGCAGAATCTCACTGCAGCCTACGGGCACGTGACAGATCAAGGGTTCTCCACGGGTGTTGAAGCTTCCTGTGTGTTCACAACAGTAAACATCCCGCCCCAACAGTTGACTTATATCTGCTTTTTAAACAATTGCAACAGATGGTTGACACTTGAAGAGAATGTATAATTAGCTTTGCAATCTAACACTTCATTCTTTCTTGCTCTTTCTCAAAGGAGAGAAGCTGTGCCTTATGCCACTGGGTCTAATCTGTTAGTTTAATCAGAAGCAGTGCTATGTTAGTTCTCAGGAGACATGGGCTGTGGGAGGATTCCTAATCCCAGCCTTTTGAGGACATTAAAAAAAGCTGGGAGGGGGTGTAGAGAGAAATCTCAGTACTTTTTAAAAGCTCATGCTTCATTCTCATTTGTCTTCCAAAGGAGGAAAGTTTTTATGTCTTTTTCTCTTCTTTCCTCCACCTCATCTCCCTCAGCCTCTGCTTCTTCATCTGGGATGATTCCTAACACGGAGGCTGCTCTGAATACTGAATGAAATAACTCCTCCAAATGCCTAGCAGAGAACCTGACACACAGCAGACACTCTACGAGGAACTGACATAGTTCCCTCACTATAGAGAAACTCAAGTGACATTAGTTCCTATTTGTTTTGGCACTGTTAATGTGATTAGAGTCCCTGAATCCATCCACTCAACCCGCCGCCTTTCTCAAACCTACTTTCAAGGAGGAGCCTCTGTCTGTGTTTGCCTTTCTCTTCCATGGCATCTTCTCTGCAAATGTCACTTCTCCGCTTTCTTAGCCAAGACATTTTCTATGTTGGCACACATCCCTGGAAGTTAAGAAATTATTTTACCTTCTTTTAATCAACCACTCCTATTTCCTATCAGAACGTATTCCAGATTCTGCTACCTTTACCCTTCTCTGAGTCAAAACTCTTAAATTGAATATGCCACTCCCTACAAAGTTTTAATTTATAGAATAGAGCTATCACTACCTTACTTGTTATTTTTATGATCAATTTATGGGGATTTTTATATGCAACCATCTCCAGCTTGTCAGAGAACCATGCCATTTCAGAGAAAAGAACGATCTAAGAGTGGAAGGCACAGAGTTGTGGGCATATCAGAAGAGAATAACTCCACGTCATTTAAAGTATCGTAGAGCCACAGACATGGTGGGGTGTGCCTGTGGTCCCAGATATTCAGGAGACTGAGGCAGGTGGGTAGCTTGAGCCCAGTATTTCAAGACCAGCCTGGACAACACAGCAAGACCCTGTCTCAAAAAATAATCTGTATCCTAAATCCATCAAATGACTCTTCATTAGAGAAATACTACGTTTATTGTAAGAAAGATTACATGTCATCAATGGCCATGCTAAGATTCGGTAATTCAATGAACTTTATACAATTCAGACAGCAAATGGTTCATTTCGTTAAGAAATTTAAAGTCTTTAGATAAATGCTAACAAAGTACGATCTAAAATAATATCTAAAACTCAAAGAAAAGAAATTAGAGAAAACATATAGAAAGTAATTGGAATGATTTTAAGAATTGAATTGCCATAGAAAAGAAATATATTTATATTGAGCTTTGTGCTAAGTAATTCATATACTTTGCATATAAGCAATATGGTAACATATGCAATGTTTTTAGCACAGAGAGTGTACATAGTGAATGCTTAGTAGAGGCTGACTTTCATTATCTACTTCAATTTCAGGAACATTTCTGTTTTTCAGATGAAGAAAATTGGGCTTGAATATTTGGGTAGTCAGGCAAACTTCACAAAAAGACAATGTGACAAAATCAGGGTTTCAAATGAATCTGCCAGACATTAAATCCCATCCCTTTTCCTGCTGCACTACATGACTTGCTATTTAAACTAGGAGGGCTTTTCCTTAAGAGTATGCCTCATTGCTTATTCACGACCGATCTGGGAAGAGAGAAACACAATTTCATCACAGGTAGAGAACACTTGAGTTCTGCTTCAAGTGATGCTTAAGCCCATTGTAAGAGTTTAGTGTGTATCAGATTCATTCACTCATTTAACAAATATTTAATAGGTCCCACTCTGTGTTAAGAAGTATTCTAGGCACTAAGGGTACTATGGAGAAGAAAGTAGACATTCATCTAAAACACAAATATATGAAGTGAGCTTAAATATCTATTTCTGCTCAAAACCTTTGACTCAGATTAACAGCTCTATTCCTGGTCAAATAATTGTACTTATTTTTCTAGAGCATAAACTCTGTATCAGACTTCATAGGTATTGTAATACAATGATAAAATATTTGGCTTCACTAATTAAATATATACATAATCATAACAAAATTATAACAAATATGACATAAAGACATAACTACAGCATCTTAAGAAAAAAAGATCTTTAATATATTTGAATGTTTTCCAAAATAATTAAATACTCCCACACATATATTTAAAATTTTCAGGAATTCTACATGCATATCATTTTATGATTTGGTTTTAGGTAGAATTTAATATGCATATAGCACAAGATAAGAACACTTGCAGTACCCCTAAAGGCTTCTTCTTGGCCTTTCCAGTCAAAACTCTTTCCAGAGATAAACTGATATCTGTCACCTGTATAAATTTTTCTTGTTCTCGAAGTTCATAAAATTGAATTATATAGGATGTATTCATTCTTGACTGACTTCTTCTATATAACATTTTGTTACATCTTGCTTTTAATCTAGCATTACATAATAAATAGTTTCTTCATCAAATTTCAGAGATTTCATCTGAATTTGAAATTTTTGATTTTTTCATCAAATTCAACAGAGATTTATGTGTTACTAATCAGATGACAGGCACCAGCTTAGAGACTGTTTGGGCAGGGATATTCACTATCCCCATTATGATTAAATAATATAGTGAGAGTCCAGCAGATAAAATAAAAAGAACATTTTAAAAAGCTGATATCATGTCATTATAAAGACAAAATAAATCATTGGTTTAAAGTATCTGATTTCACAAAGCTATGTTAATGTTGATGATGGGTACAATCATTATTATTTTATGATACTGAGAGAAAAAGGCAGTTTTTGAAAATTGAAAATGCTTAAACAACCAAAGTGTTAGTAAAATACACAAGTCAAATTGATGTCAAGTTGACGTGTTAAAACTTCATGCATAGGTGTAAAGCCCTGGTACATTTAATCTCATCACTCCAGACATTCAGTTCAATTGACCATTTGTGTAAGAATTTCCTATGTTTTTAAAATCATGTATTGTTTATGTGGTCACACCTATAAGATTTTATCAGATTCACTGGGTTTTTTTTCTTTTGGAAGAGTGTGGCTGGGCAGAAATGACTGCAACAGCTATGTTGGAAAACTTGGTTATGACTTCAGTTTTTATTGAAACGTTTTGTAAGAAATCATCTTTCAAACTTGAAAAGAGACCCACAGATAATTTAAAAGTGTGATTTTGATTTCTATTTGTCTTGTAAGTCCCAGGAATACAAAAGTGAGAAGAAGCTTATAAGTTATTATGATAAACCTGTTCCATTCATTTAGCTCACTAACTGCACTTGGACAGACAAGTTCTCCTACCTGAAAAGTGCTAAATAGTTTGAACATTCTCATTTTCACTGGGGAATGGTTATGGTTTTGATCTCAAAGTTACAGTAACCCCCCCCCAAAAAAATACACACACACACACACACACACACACACACACACACACATGTCTGAATAGTTTTTCTGGCCTAATTTATTTTTGTTTTCCCCCTCCAAAATGAGCCTATTCTAGTAGTGAAAATAACTCTTCACTGAAATCAATAGATGATCAACCCCATTTAATTATTTCCCAAGAGACATTTGTCACCTTTTTTGTTTCTGCTGCTCCAAACCCAGAAATAAAAATGTCCAGTAGTCACTCCTCCTACTTTTTCTGGTAACTAAAACGTGGTCACATGACCTGGCTTCTCCGTGGCCAATCAATGTTTTTGCTCAGGTCTTGTAACCTTCTGTGAGTAATGAGAAAGGTGTAGATATTTCACCATTTATTTTGAAGTGGAGGCAGCAGCGTCTCTTTCTTAAGATGAAAGGCAGAGCTAGAAGCCAGGATGGGATCCTTATTTGCTCTTGGCCAGCCTCCTCTGGTACACTCGCCTCCCTGTGCATTTGCTGATATCCTTCTATTGAACTTTTTTCTTTTTGAGTTAACTGATGGTTTCTCATTGTTTGCAAACAAAAACTTAATACAAATATTTTAGCATTAAAAGAAGAGGCAAAATAGCAGTATATGCTGCTAAATCTTTCTATTTGGGAGGATATACATTTCAATGTTTTGCTGGAACAAAAATGATTAAGACACAGTTCTTGTCCTTGACTTCTAGAATTTTTTTTTGACCTAAACAATTATTGTTTAACACACACACACGCACACACACACACACACAGACACACACACACAAACTGGCTGAGATTAATTTATTCATTATTTTTTGATGTTACCACAGTATGGGCCAAATTTCTAATGTGTATGGTACAATGTGAAATGATATGTAAAAAAAACATGACAATGATTGCTCTTCATTAAAAAAATGAAAGAATATTTTCCCAATCCAATCTATCATAGATGGGCATTTGGGTTGGTTCCAGATCTTTGCTATTGTAAACAGTGCTGCAATGAACATTCGTGTGCATGTGTCCTTATAGTAGAACGATTTATAGTCCTTTGGATATATCCCCAGTAATGGGATTGCTGGGTCAAATGGAATTTCTGTTTCTAAGGCCTTGAGTAATCGCCACAAAACACTGGGGTCTATTTGAGGGAAAAGGGGAGGGCGGGGGGGGGGGCGGAGCTGGGGAGGGATAGCCTGGGGAAAAATGACAAATGTGAGTGAAGGGGAGAAAGGAAACAAAACACACTGCCATGTGTGTACCTATGCAACTGTCTTGCACGTTCTGCACATGTACCCCAAAACCTAAAATGCAATAAAACATTTTTTTTAAAATCCCCCAAAAAAGAAAGAATATTTTATAAAAGCATTACATGATATAAATTTATTCTCAGTTATGCAGTTCAAGATGACAGACTATAAATATCTTGTAAAAATCTATTACAAATTGATTGTAGACATTAGCTACCTAAATTTTGATATTATAATCAAAACATGATTCACATCAACAGCTATGAACATAAAACTTTTCTGTAAATTTTTCTTTCATAATAAAAACAATCAGTGATTCTAGACCAATACTGTGCTAAAAATCAATGCTTATTTAAATCTAGCCAGTGTGTATGTGTGTGTGTATCTATGTGTGTGTGTGTATGTATGCAAAACTCACACCTTTTGATCAAATAAAAAACATAATTAAATATTTGAACAAAGATGACGTTATGTGGACAAATGCAATTCCTCTAGGAACTAACTATAACACAATATCACATTTATGAGACCCCACTTTTTTATGATGAGCCCTAAGTGTGCCATGGGAAGAAATTCCCCACAGCACCTGTCAAGTGGGTGCTTCTGCCGAGGACTAAAATAGTCAATGAGTGATACTAAGATACAGAGACTGTGCCAAATCCATACTAAAGGTTAGAAGCATGTGTTACGACATGACACAAAACAGATTCCTTGAGGCCCAGCTCTGCCCACTTTGATACATCACACACATCCGTCTGGTATTGCAATTACAGTCTTGAGTAGGTTATCCCGTAACCCCTCTGACCTCAGTTTTTTCATTAGTAACATGGAAATACAATTTCTATTTCAAATTTATATGCTATTTGTGAAGATTAAATGAGGTATCTGACATAGAGTGTGGAACCCAGTGTTTATCATATAGGAGATGCTTTGCAACTGCTGCATGTTATTAGTATTAGTGTCACTCATTTTTTTTTTGTTATGCCTTCTTTTGTCAGTTACTAATCTTATTTTTTCTTACTCTGTAATTTATTATTACAAGAAAATTGCCAGATTTTAGAGAAGCTGAAAGATAGTGAATATCTCAAATAGATGTGGCCCATAATTTTATTTAAATAAATGGTGTTACACCTAATTGCAGGAGTTCAAATTCATCATAACCCAATGGTCATCACTAAATGTTCCTTTATACACAAGGGAGATCCATGAAATAAGCTAGCGTTTTCAGTAGTTAATCCAGATTAATGAATATGTTAACTGATTGTTTCTACCAGATGGCCTCAGTTCTAACTGAAAACTAAATAAACAGTAGCAATTGGGAATCAACATTTTGGTTTAGAAATGATCATATTCTACAAAAATTTTCTCTTGGATAGCAGAGCCTCCAGGAATGAGTGAAAATGCAGGATTTTTCAAGAGGAACTACTGGCACGCTAATAGATATGAACATAGAAACAGGTCTAACTTCAATTCTTATTTTTTAGTAAAATTATGTGCAAAAAGCAAATTGGAGTTTTGGACAAGTCGGAGAGAGATGCATCGATCATGCTGGATGTCGGCTTTGTGTATCCAACCCCTTCTAAATTCCAGTGATCAGGTGGGATTTGTTATCTCCTTAAGTATTTCTGGAAGGACTTTAAAGTAAATAGAATGTGATGGTCCCAGCAAGGAGGTAAAAGGCACTTGATAGATAATTAACCCTAAAAGACAAAAATCAGTTAAACAAAAAGATGTTAGAAGCATCATCCCTTTTTGTTTGGGTGAATATTTTTCTTTTATTTCACCCCAACACTTTATTTTTTATATAAAGCTGAAAACATATTTGATTGGAGCCCAAGCTCCAAATATTAAACCTATGTATGAGACATTATAACTCCTTCATTCTTACAGAATAGCTGAATATACATATACACACATCAAGGGATAGTTTCAGTGATTAAGGTGGACTAAGAAATAAATGATAGATATTTAAAAAGGTTTCTCTAAGCCTAAAATTATTTTCCTTGCTGTTATAAATGAAGAAACTGATAATAAAAGAGGTTAAATAAACAATTCTCCCATGATCCGGCTGTTAATAAATGTCAATGAGAGGATTTGAACTGATTTTGGCCTGATTTAAGAAGCATGATTCATTATTCTATATGCCCATCAATATGTACAGACGTATATCTGTTGAAATATTCTCCAAAAAATATGACAACATTAAGACAATAGTAATTCAGTTGATAGAATCTCAAGACGTAATATCTACTTAAGTATAATTTTAAAATTTATCTTTTTATGTTTTAAGCTACCTTTAGGTAGTTTCTAAATATGTTCCCCTATGCATTAAGAATCCAGGCTTATTTCACATTCAGTGCTTCTTAATCTATCTTATAACCCGGGAGAAATAAATTGCTAGTGAATTTTAAATGAGTTCTTCAATACTAGTTAAATGAATCCCTCATTTTTTAAGATTGACTAATAATCAGAATTGCAGATGATCTGTATTCTGTTATTAATATGAGGGACCCAATGACACACTACAGAAAAAAAGGATATCAATGAGTCTCCTTGGGAAATCAGAAAGAAATTGAGCTTGTCCATTGCTGTCAGCCTGACCTTCAAGATATGACAAGATGCCAAAGGGGGGGAAATTACCTAAGATTTTCAGAAACTCAGAGACATAAAGAAAGTATTTTGAAAAGGAAAAAAGAATCCACTCCTTTCCCAATTCACAATTAAGGTTACATAATGCTTAAATTCTGTGTTATTTTATGTGCAGACAGTGATGATTGAAAACCATATACCTACTCAAAAATCGCAGACCAAACATATTTGTGCATATATATATATATACATATATATTCTCATCTCTAAATTTATCCTCTATCCTTGTAATTAAACCACTAGACAGGAAATCCAAAAAAAAAGACAGAATAGACATGTTCCACTGCTTCTTGTTAAACTGAATGCATATGTGTATGTGGCAGGATCTAGGGTGTTGAATCTTGTTTCTTTATTCAAGATGTTATATTATTCATAAAACTCAATGGTAAGATAGTTTCTTGCCTAGGGAGTGCCTGGGGTAAGGTGTGAGAGCAAACAAATACATATAGTACCTCCTATACTGTGCTCACCACTGTTCTTTTAATTCTCATAATACATATTATCACTGCTTCTATTTTACAAATGAGAAAATTGAGGCAAAGAGCACTTTACTGACTTAAACACAGTGACATAGCTGTAAATAATGGAGCCAGGATTTTAACCCACGTGATCTGTCTTCAAAGTCTACTCCTTTCCCTATACTATGCTAGATAGCATGCCTCAGAAGATATTCCTTTCTCAGCTTTATCATGTTGCCACAAGAGTTTAAAGGCATCCACAAAAATTGCTCAGTGAAATGTCATTATGGAGAACTTAATTTTATACTGATCAATTTGAATTGAATCCATTGGCGAGCTCTGTGGTACTTATCACTTTAATCTTCAGTGGTCTTATTGTAAAATGTTAATACTAATATCAACCATAGGCTTGTGAACAACCTATAAAAGGACCTGTAACATACAACATACTTTAAAACTATAATTATTTTCCATGAATATTGGTTTTGTCAACTCTTATAATGGATAAAACAACCTATTTTCGTTCTTCCAAGGTAATAGCATATATCATGAATCACAGATCACATTAGGTGTGAGAAATAAAGTAGTCATCTTCCTTTAGTTCATTCTGTAGCCTACAGAAAGAAACTTGATGGAGACAGGAAGCAGATGAGACAAGGTTCCATCTGCCTTACCTACCATGAGCTCTAAAATAGATCCAACATCAAAGAGCAGAGTGTACAGGGTAAGCTGTGAAGCATTTGGAAGAAATTTTTTTTTTTAGTTTTATTATAAGAGGAAACAATGTGTTTTAGTTTTATTATAAGAGGAAACAATATATAGCCTTTTCCCAGTACATTCCTTGTACTGGGAAAGGCTATATAAATCTGGAAACAATATTTTAAGAAAATCATGAAACCCATGAATATTTTCAGAACATTTTTGCAGATATTCCAATCCCTTTTCAAATGGTAGCTCCTGCATTACAGGAGAGGAGGAATGGGTCAATTAAGTGTTCACTTGTGTGGAAGTGTGCAAATGTCATTGCAAGAACAGACTCTCAAAGCTTTTACTGCACTCTTCCTTTTGTATGGATAAAGACCCTAATATGCCTTATTCATTGCCTGAGAACTTTTAAGGCACTGGGGTAATGCGACAAGCATGGAGCTTAATTCATGTTCATACCCACTAGTTAATCATGTCACTTTGTGCAATCTCTCTAAACATAAATTTTTATCTTTGCTATTGGCAAAGGCACAGTAAGGTACCTATATTAAGGAGTGCAGAGATGAAGAGCAGCATGCAGGTGCCTCTAGTAGTGGATCCCTAGCAGTCAAGAAAACATAATTATTTAGATATTACTGAGAAGCTATGATGTTCAAAGCACTATACTGTGCAGAGGAAATAAAATAATTAGGCCCCTACCAAAAATTAATTTAAATGAATGGAAGAGTTTGAATGGGGTTTGGAAAAACTAAGTAGGATTATAAAATAAATCAGGTGAACTAGCTTATTAAGAATCAGTACAGAGTTAAGAAATTCACAAGCATTTCTTGAGGTCTTTGGTAATGCCAGAAGACAGATCCAGCCTGCTAGAGATACACAATGAGTTCTGAGAAGCAAAATTCAGGAGGGAGGTGAAAGAACTCGGATCATTGGTGGGATTCATAAATGAGTTTAAATTTGCAACATACATGACTTTATGCTAAATCACTCAGGTTCTCTGACTATTCCCCATACATATTTTTACATACCTACCTTTTTTTCTATTTTCCCAGGCAGATACAAGCTTTTTCAGGTAACCAAAAAAAAAAAAAAAAAAAAAAAAAAAAGGCCACAAAAACTATAACACATTTATTGATATGATCAGGCTTTTTTTTTTCTGCCAAAAGCCATTAAGTAAACTATAATTCAAATAAGTTGATTCTGGGGCATCTCAAGTTTTCCTAAGACTCCTTCTTCTTCTGAGGAAATACTAAGAACTGATTAATCTGAATAAGGTGTGAATCAAGTGTTAAAATATAACTGAATTGTACAATTATTTTACTTTTCCCTGTTTTCTCCATTTCTTCCATGAAGTTATACAAGGTTATAACAGGATTCCTACTGTTATTTAAAATGTTGTTCCTAGAAATACTACCCCATCCTATACTCATAAATTATTTCAGATTTCTTATACCCATCCTTCTTCTTTTGTCTTTATTCTATACAGTGGACATGATCCTGAGGTTGATTTCACTTGTGGTTGGCACTTTATATTACTTGAGCAAGATATGCCAATGTGAAAATAAGATACAGACTTACTTTCTCAAGGTATTTTATAGGTACAGAAATAGAGAGATTGGCAGACAGAAAGATACATACATGCACACAAAGATACACTGATAATGATATGTTTTGGAACTGTCCTCACCCAAATCTCTGAACTGTAATCCCCAATGTTGGAGATGGAGGCTGGTGAGGGATGACTCACTCATGAGGGCAGATTTCTCATGAATGGTTTAGCACCATCCCCATTGGTTCTGTTATCACAGTAGTGAGTTCTCATGTGATCTCGTCATTTAAAAGTGTGTAGCTTTTCACCCTTGCTCTCTTGCTCCTCCTCCATCCATGTGATGTGCTGCTCCCACTTTGCCTTTCTCATGATTATAATTTTCTTGAGATCTCCCCAGAAACCAAGCAGATGCCAGTGTTATGCTTCTCGTATAAGCCTGCTGTACTGTGAGCCAAGTAAACCTCATTTCTTTATAAATTGCCCAGTCTTGGGTATTTCTTTATAGTAATGAGAGAATGGACTAATACAAATAGATAAAAATGTATTATGTAGATTTAGATAATAGATAGATATCTAGACAGATAGAATATCTGGTGTAAGATCTTACCTCTGTGTCATAGCTCTGGGAACTTTAGATATTCATTGCAACTCAGCCCCACATCCCTAAAATGGAAATAGGAGTTTCCATTTTAAAATCTGACAGAGTTATCAGGAGGATTACACAAAATAATACATGCAATTTGCCTGGGCGACAGGCAAGCACTTCACTGGTATTTGAGAAACACTTATCAATCCTTCTTGATCGGTTCTTGAAATCAACATTATCACTGAGTATCTGCATAAGACTATATTTCAAAATGTAAATAAGTATTTAGAATTGCTTTTTTATCCCAGAATCAACTTCTGGCAAACATAAACTGTTTCTTAATTAATTATCTGGAATCATTATTCGCCTTTAGCTTAGCCTTTGTTAATTATCTTAGCATCTTTAGATCCCGGATTCCAGGTCCTGTTACCCAATTCTCAAATTCTGGGATTCTCCTAAACAATTTCAGATTCACTTAAAGTCACTGGCAAAAATAAATCCAGTACATGCATGACCTTGACAGATAAAATGTAAGCAGATGTTAAGTGACAAAGAAATGTTATATCTATATATTGACATATTTATATATAAATGTTAACATTTCAGTCCTTGGGCTTTGTATATCCTATTGACTAACACTACTAATAAAATCATCAGAAAACATTCATATTTTTAGTAAACAAAAATTATTTTCATATTTACAGCTTTATGTGATTTACCTAAAATCACAGCATAATTTTATAGATGAAGATACCAAGGATACAAAACAGAACACAAAGTTATTTAATGGCAGACTGAAAACTTAGATCAAAGCCTTTAGAATCCAAATCCCTTGGAAACTCTCTACACTCCTTCAGCGTAACTATCAAAAACTTTTAACTATCAAGCATCCTTTAGAAAATAACGAGCTTCAGTTTTTTTCTTTCTTCTCTTCCTTTCTTTTTTCAAACCGGTAAGAAATACTGAGGCCCAAAGAGCAGAAGTTCTTGTTTATATTACATAAAACTAATAAAACATATAACATGTTTTTTTTCCCTAGGTAATATTTACATTTTATATATAATGGGTTGGCCTCAAACTCTTCATAAGAAATGTTTACATAATCAGCCTAGACATGTAGTAGGCTGTAATGTTTAGATTCGTCTATGTACACTCTGTCAACACATGGCAAAACAACTTAAGGATTCATTTCTAAAAAAAATCCCATCGTTAAGAGACTATGGCTGTGTATTAGATAGATAGATAGATAGATGATAGACAGATATAGATATCTCTATAAATAAATATATATATCTACATATTTATGTAATGTGAATAATGTAAATATAATTCATGAATATAAAATAATATGAATATAATTTATTTACTAAAACAAAAATTATATAGATACAGATATATATAGATATCACTACAGCTATGTAAATACCTATATATTTATAGAGTAGAATATTATATCTATAATTATATATTTATATATAAATATAGAGATGTAGATATCTATATATCTCTCTTTATCTATAGCTATCTATCTATCAACAGATAGGTGATAAATAGGTAGATATAGATAGATAGATAGATAGATAGATAGATAGATAGATAGAGGTGATATATAGATAGATATCTACAGATAGGTAGATCATTATCACCTTTTCATTATCCATTCATCCATACATGGACTTTGGGGTTATTTCATATATTGGCATTTGTGAATAATGACAGAATAAACTTCAGAGTATAAATAATATCTCTTTGAGATCTTGCTTTCAATTCTTTTGAATACTGTATGATTCCAATTATCTGAGGTATCTGAAGTACTCAAACTCTTAGTAGCAAAAGGTTGAATGGTGATTGCCAGGGGCTGTGGAGAGCGGGAAATAAGGAGTTCACTGGCTGTAGAGTTCCAGTTATGCAAGATGAAAAAGTTCTGGGGTTATGCTATGTACAATGGACATAATTAACAAGACGGTATTCTACACTTACATGTTTATTAATTAGTTTAAAAGAAAAAGAGTGTCAGTCCACTTAAGCTATTGTAAAAGCTTTCTCTTAGGATAAATCTGTGTTTTGTTTGAGTAATATGATTAGAGGAGATATAAGGTTGTTTATGTATCATGTAATTTATGTATTTTCAAAGATTAAATTGTATCTTTAATCCCTAAGTATGAAAGAACATTTTTATCTCCTTCAACATCTGTACATTTGTTTGCCCAGCTTGGTCTTCCCCATCTTCTATTGTAAAGGTCACAGATGATGCGTCTTTTTACGACCATAAGGGCCACAGGCCTCCTATCCAATGTGAATCATCAGTGCAATCAGTCTAGGGTCATTTTAGGCAGACTCTGAACAAGTTGAATAGTAATTTTTCTATCTTCTTCAGCTGGTCTTTCTAGGCATATGTTAAATAAGTTCTCAATTATTGCCAGAAATTCCAAGGAAGTGGAACTTACTTGTTATCTTAACAGTGGATGAAGGAGTTTTAATGTCATCTGCTGGAACAACAGCTGAATGTGGGATATTATATAACAGTCCCAGCATAACATTTATTGGGTAACAAAGTCAGATGTAGGCTGGATATGATAAAAATAAGTGAACTCATGTTGTATCCTCACGTAGAAATTAATCTTTGGTTTGAATCTAGCAGAATCACTTTAATTTTCATTTGAGTTGTCATTGATTGCAAATCTTTTACCTTTATTTACAATATTTTTCTTATGAGATATATGCCAGATTTACTCTAAAATGATTTACCCAGTATTGTAAATAGTGAGTATCCATGTACTATAAATATTTACAAGTATACACACAGAAGTTATAAATATGTTAAAACTATTCTACATATAATAACCTAAGAGTCAGAAGTTCTCTAATACTAGCTTCCTGTATTTATAAGTTCATGTCATTAGGTTTTGATTTACTATTTTTAAATGCAGGGTGCTTGTGTAAACTATTTTGAAGGCCTGTGCAACATCTACATTTTTCTAGTTTAGATTTCTAATAATAAAATACTATTTTACTAATAATAAATTATGATTTATTTTTCACATTATAATCTCAGCAACAAACTTGAAAGAAAGGTAGCATTACAATGTTCCAGATCAAAAAGGTAACAGGGCTTCTCAAAAAATCATCAGTTGGTAGATGATATATTGGGAAAATACAGTCAGGCCTGTCTGACTTCAATACCTAATTCTCTCTGTTACACCAAATATCCACTCACAACATGGCCCAAGATTTGGAAAATTCCCTGCTTTTGTTCCTAACTTATCCTATCATAGAACATAAAATATTTCACAGATTTTGGGAGAACATGACACATCTATTTCAATATAAAACTAGAGTTAAAAATTGGAATCCAGAAGTGGGAAGTTCTTAGGCAAGATCGTCTCAGAAATTTCCCTGAACATTCTTAGAGGCAAACTTCTATTCTTAGTTAAATCCTGACCATCAGCATGAGGGTTAATTTCAGTTTTTCTCATTTTTAAAACCCCTGTCCAGCTAGAAATTCAGCCTAGAAAGCCCCCAACTAATGATCTGTGTCCGATGACTCAGCAGAGAGCAAATATTATTCTATTCCGCAGCACTCTGTTACCTTTCACTCCCTCACTTTTCTTGCTGCAGTGAAAAATGATTCATATAAAGGAAACCAAGATAGTAAAAACAGAAAGAAACTATAAGAAATGCTGCTTAACAATTTCCAGTCGCGTCTGGGGCTTGGAGAAGTTGAAAAGAGGCCCAGAACACTTACTTTTCAGCCATGCCTAGACGATGTTTTAGTTTCGGTATCAAGAGAATCATTTCCATGAAGGAGAGCTAAAGGAGACTGCAAAATCACATGTCTTTTCTTTGATCAGGAGCAGGAGCATTGTGCAGGGATCAGGCAGTCCCTGAAGAAGTCCCTGAAAGAAACTGATTATAAGAAACATGAAATACATGGGCTTCCTCCTCACCCACCTCCTTGCTGCCTCCACCCTCAGCTCCAGGGTCAGCCCAAAAAAGGCATCTGAGTTTTATGAGAGATGTATTCAGTAACAAAAGAACAAGATCGAGCCTTGATAATTCAGGAAAATGTAACTTTAAGAAGGTTAAACTTACCATGTTTGGAAGCAGGCATTCCTTCCAGAATACACATGAAAGGCCTGGGGACTTCTCTGTTTTTGTGATACCAAAAGAGAAAGAACTTCACTTTTACTAAGTCAGACTCTCATTATTATTATTTTTTTCTTTCCATTCTTTGCCATGATCTCAGGGTGAGATTGAAAAAAAAAGCAGAAAAAGAAAACACAAAGTATTTTTTTATTTAGCATCATGGGGATTCCTTTTGTGTGTTTGAATCATTATTGTACTGAAAAAAAAAAATGCCAGCTCCACTACTAGAGTAAGAAGAAGCCGACGATGCCTTTCCAACTCACACCACCACCTCCTTATCCACCCAAAGACTTTGGCGAAACCATAAATATATATCACTTTGTTACATTGAGTTCTTGCAAGAGCTATATCAAATACAAAATGATCTTTGTTTAGAAAACGTTCCTCCCAAAGATCAAGCTCTCAGATTTACTGAGTTACGCATGGTTGAGAACAAATAAATTCCCTCTGATAGCACTTAGAAGTGCATTGCTAAAGAACCCTGGAGTAAAAGGTTAATGTGTACCAGGATAGAGTGAATTAGGAACGCTGACCAAAAGCACTTTCTGTAACCTGTACAGTTCCAAATTCTTGCCAAGATCCTATAACCATTTTGTCCTAACTACCAGGGAAGTTGTGTTCTTCAACTTGGTTCCAGGTTGAAGAATGCTGGAAGGCCAAGTTAGATATCCAGCTATTCCTCTCTGGCACATTCATAGGGGACATGGCTTATAGAGAATTTAATGAGAAACATTCACAAGAAGGATCTTGGAAAAAGAATTTTTTAACTATTACCTAAGAGAAGTGTAAGAACGAGAGGGTAATGATAAAACAATTTGAAAATTATATTAAACGTCTGAGGAGTCTGGTGAAACACACTGTGGTACCATCCCATAATAGAAAGCACTAAAAAAAATGAAACGGCAGGTAATGCAACAAGTTGGATGGATTTCAAGGGCATCACACTGAGTGAAAAATGTCAGTCTTTGAAAGTTAAGTGCTAGATGATTCCATTTATATCACATTTTCTAAACAACACAACTCCAGCAATGGGACAACAGATCAATGGTTGCCTGTAGTTAGTGCAGAGGAAGAGGGTGTGGCTAGAAAAGTAGTTCCTTTGAGTGGCAGAGCATTTCTGTATCGCGATTGTATAAATCTACACAGGTGAGAAAATCTCATATAACGCTACATACAAAAGTACAAAAATTAACACAGAAAGAAAAAACAGTGCATGCAAAACCTAGTGAAATCCAAGTAGACTCTAGTTAATTGTATCGTGACGATACCAATTTCCTTGTTTTAAAGACATGCAAGAGTTATTTAAATGTCAAAGGGGAACTTTCTGTACTAACTTTGCAATTTCCAGTGACTGTATAATTGTTTCTAAATGTAATTTTAAAAAATCCTGGGATACATTTCTGAGAGCCTATACATCCATTCCTTTAAAAGCATATTTTTTTCTAACCACCTATTTTTATGTGAAGATTTTAGATACACAGAGATAAGGCATGATGAGAACACAATGTAATCACAAGATACTAGTGGGACCAATGGACAGACAAAGCCAAAATTAAACTATGCAGTGGTGTGCAAGGTGGCTACAAAGTTTTTTGTGAGCACAGTGGAAATTGTGAACATTCTCTTTCTGGAAGATTTTTAAAAATTAATAAAAGTGTGATGTTTTCTTTGACCTTCAAGACTGAATTGTCAGTGGACAGTGACTGTGGCATTCCTTTGAACAAGAAGGAAGCATTTTATCTTATTGTAGAAAATTTCCCCCAGTTTATTTAGGAAAATGATCAGTACATTTTTAGAGACTCAACCACTTGCTGAAAAGCTGCTGTTTCTGGAGAAATAGGTCATAATTACAAAGCAATTGAAATGATGAAAATGAGACATATTTTATTGAAAGATTTGTTTCTTCTATAATGCCCTTTTGACAGTTTTCCTAGTTTGCTATTTGGCAAAATACGGCACAATAAGCCTCCTTCTTCTAAAACAGCAAATGGATTAATGGATGCTGGTGCTGGTATCAAGTTTAGATGGACCTTATGATCTTATGACTTTACCCCAGGTTCTCATTCAGAAGATCACAGATATCAAGTAAACATATGGTAGAGGATGACAAAAATGCCTCGCTTAATCGGTTCCATGTATACCTGAAGACTGAAGAGATTCTATCAGCATGGAACAATGTCACACTCAAAGACCGGACAAGAGCTCAAAGTCTGCTATTTTTTTTTCTCTCTCATGATAAAGAGCATCTGTAGACAGATGACTATGTAAATATAACTTAAAAGGAAATAAAGAGGACAATGGAAAGGATGAGGTGTGATTTTTTTTTTAAGTTGAAACACAGTTTCATCCTGTCACCTAGGCTGGAGTTAAGTGGCACAATTATAGCTCACTGCAGCCTCAACCTCCCAGGCTCAAGCTATCCTGCCTCAGCCTCCTGAGTGGCTGGGATTACAGGCATGTGCCACCATGACAATCTAATTGTTTTTTTGTTGTTGTTGTTTTGTTTTGTAGAGATTGGGTCCCACCATATTGCCCAAGCTAGTCTCAAACTCCTGGACTCAAGCCATCCTTCCACCTTGGCTTCCCAAGGTGCTGGGATTACAGTTGATGAGCCACTGTGCCTGCCCCATGTGAGTCTTTAAAGGCAGCGCTGGGCCGAGCGCGGTGGCTCAAGCCTGTAATCCCAGAACTTTGGGAGGCCTAGGCGGGTGGATCACGAGGATCGAGACCATCCTGGTCAACATGGTGAAACCCCGTCTCTACTAATAATACAAAAAAAAAAAATTAGCTGGGTATGGTGGCGCATGCTTGTAATTCCAGCTACTCAGGAGGCTGAGGCAGGAGAATTGCCTGAACCCAGGAGGCGGAGGTTGCTGTGAGCCCAGATCGCACCATGGCACTCCAGCCTGGGTAACGAGCGAAACTCCTCTCAAAAAAAAAAAAGGCAGCGCTGCCTGGCAATTTGGCTCTAGTTAGACCAATGCTTATTCCCCACTATTCACAGGCATGCATAATACAGACACAAGAGAAGCAACGTGCAGTTCCGCTTAAAAAAAATATATTTGACGAGGCAAGAGAAAAGAAGGAAATTAGAAAGGGCTAGAGAGAAGCTAAGGAATATTAAATGAATTCTTCGTGTCAGGCTCTGTGTTTGGCTCCATTTCAAATTCAACCCGCCTCATTATACCAAGGGGTATAAAACCCATTTCCAATAAGCCTATTCAGTTTACAATTACCATTACTTTTTAGATTAAGAAACATATATCCTTTTAACATTGCTGATCTAGCCATTTTCTTTCACAGAGCAGATCAAGTAATTTTAAAAGCGACTTGAGGCCCAGTGCAGTGGCTCACACCTGTAATCCCAGCTGAGTCAGGCGGATCATGAGGTCAAGAGATCAAGACCATCCTAGCCAACATGATGAAACCCCATCTACTAAAAATATAAAAATTAGTTGAGTGTGTTAGTGCATGTCTATAGTCCCAGCTACTCTGGAGGCTGAGGGAGGAGACTCTCTTGAACCTGGGAGGTGGAGGTTGCTGTGAGGCGAGATCACACAGCTGCACTCCAGCCTGGTGACGGAGCGAGACTCCATCAAAAAAAAAAAAAAGCAACTTGAATATAATCCCCCCTTCTTAAAACTGCTCAATAAATTTTAAAAATCCTTGATAGAGTATCAGTTATACAGTTTGCAAAGCTTTGCTAAGGGTGGCTCTGCTTAATCTCGGGATTTATCCTTTTCTTCTTCCACTCCCAGATGTTATCTTCTTTTTACTTTCAGGTTTAATTTCTTTCTTCTGTTATTCCAAATAATCATAGAAATTTCACATGTGTGAATGTGTACAGTCTCTCAGACCTTCTCATTTACCTTCCCACATGCAGATCCATTCATCAGGAAAAAAAAGCAAGCCCTCTTCAAATACTCTGTTGCCTATCACTAAACCCACATTCTTTCTCTGCACAGTTTATATTCATCCTTCAGGTCTCACCTCCAAAAAGCTCAGAAGCTCTTTTTAATGCTCTCTAGTTATTTATGCATCTGTCTTAAACTCATTTGTGAGTTTTCTGCAGAAGTAGAAAAGTTGTCTTTGCCTATTTTGCTTCTAATGGTTGGAACAATAAGTGACCCAAAGTTCTATTTTCAATCAAAGGTCGTCAGATGGTTCAAGAAAACAAACTCATTCTGATATCACATGAACACTAAAGTGTCATAGACAAGGCATGATTCTGAGTGACAACAGTCAGGAAGTAGCATCGACACACACACACATACACACATACAGTATAATAACAAGGTTACATGGTTTGGCTGTGTCCCTACCCAAACCTCATTTTGAATTCCCATGTGTCGTGGGAGGAACCCGGCTGCAGGTAATTGAATCATGGGGGCAGATCTTTCCCTTGCTCTTTTCTTGATTGTGAATAAGTCTATTAATATTTCATGGTTTTAAAAGGGGAATTTCCCTACACAAGCTATCTTCTTTTGTCTGCTGCCATGTAAGATGTGCCTTTTACCTTCTGCCATGATTGGGAGGCTTCCCCAGCCACATAGAACTTTAATTCCAATAAACCTCTTTCTTTTGTAAACTGCCCAGTCTCAGATATGTCTTTATCAGCAGCATGAAAATTAACTAATACACAAAGGATTTTCATGATTAAGAGCTTGGGAATAACTAACAACTTCCTAAAGCCCCATGTCAATAAGTGGAAGTATTTTTGACTTAAAAGCCAGGAATATATTCGTCCATCCATCAATTCATTCATTCAACATTTTTTCATACCTGCTTTGTGATCATGTTAAGTGGCCCAAGGACCTAACATAATAATGATTAAAAACTTCATGAATTCAAGGTGCTCAAAATTAAGTGAAAATTATAGTTCTGGGTCAAAAAGACACAAAAAAGAAGATGCTATGAGCTGAATCATGTATCACCCTCAAGAAACTATTTCCAGTTGTGGTCGTAGCACATACCCTTTATTTATGTCCAAAAAATTATATAAAAAGTAATATCAGTATTGCAGAGAATGTCTTCTGTGCAGTTATATTAGGTATATGTTTTTGAAGATTAATTTTCCTTTTTGTTCCTCTAATTGTGAATTATCTGTTTTCTACATTCATTCAATATGTCATCCTG